AGGAGCAGGAAGGCTGACGTTTCGGTTTCTGAAGAAGGGTCTAGGCCCGAAACGTCAGCCTTCCTGCTCCTCTGATGCTGCTTGGCCTGCTGTGTTCATCCAGCTCTACACCTTGTTATCTGCTTGCAAATTCTTTTAACAAGTTATACAATGTAAAACATTAAATTCCCTCAGTGAACTCTGCACAAAACAACAATGTCAACAGAAAAGGTGTGTGAACATGCAGCTGATTCAATAATGCTTGTTTTACGATATTGCCCAAGGTCCAAAGGAAGTTATAATGAAACATCATCAACGTGAAACGTTAACTGTTTATTTCTCTACAAAAAAGGTTTCCAGCATTTCCTATTTTTATTCCCGATGTCCAACATTTTTCTCCTATTTAGGCACATAAGTATAGCTAATTTTTGTATCTAGATTTTAGAATCTTATCTCCAAATTACACTGACGTAGTATTAGTAAAGTGGCAAGAATGAAGGTACAATAAGGGATTCCCACCCTTGCTCTCCAAGGAAAGGTCTTCTCCACTATTGTACTCTTACTTGAAGTATGCTCAGAGTTGCCTCTGTACAACCTTAAAACAAGAATTTATCCTTCTAACAATCAGTACAAAACTTTTAAATCAATCATCGAGGCTGGAGGAGAAAACTGTCGTGCTAATCTCACTACTTCACATGTTACTACATGAAATAAAGACTTTTCAAATTACCAAGATGACCAATTAAATATCTTACCATTTAAAATCTGATATATGACTGGAGGTTTCTTAACAAACAATTACTGACTAATTGTCAAAACAAAAAAAAAAAACTTATTAAATGGAGATGCAATAATAAGTTAACATTAAAAAGTGTCAGTAGTATAGAAGTATAAATGCTGGTCTCTCTAAACATGCCCAAACTGAACAAATTCAGGAAGACAGAAAAATAATTCCCTGCAGAGATTGATTTTCAGAAAAGAAGGCATTCTGACCGACGGGTTAGTCTTGAAGGCTAAAGGATAAAGCATAGAATTGTGTGCAAGAATCAGTTGCTCCGACATTCTGACTCTTGGTCAAGTCAGTAGTCATGCATGATCGTCTCTAAAGTACAATAGACACAATTTGCTCAGGAAATGCTATCTTGATATGTTTGTTTGAAAGAACATGGAGGTTACATCCTGAACTGAATAAGAGGGTTTACTTTACAGAAATATAAGCAATCAGCTGGGCATGTTGTTTTTTGCACGCATTCCTCCAAATCAGCAGCTTCTTTAGCAGACTTTCCTCCAACTGTACCAGAGAAAACAAGAATCTCCACAAGCCAATCACGGTTCAAAACAGCTCAAGCAGGGGTCTAAAGCAACACAATCTATTATCAGCAGTCATGAGATGTACACTACACCTTGTCAAGTGCTTTGGATTTTATGACAAATTTTCAAAAAAAAAAAAAAAGACTCAAAGAACTGCAGACATTTCTGCAAAATGAGGTGAATCTACTTTCCACAATTCTTCAAAACTTAAGTCCTCCGAGCAATATTAAATATCAAGCAACTTTGGAACAAATGCGATGTGCATAGTCACATTGTACGTTGATGTAGGGGTGCCAGTGTTGAACTCGGATGGACAAGGTCAGAAATCACACGACACCAGGTTATAGTCCAAACAGGTTTATCTGAAATCAAAAACTTTCAGGGTGCTGCTCCTTCATCAGGTGAAGAGTTCACCTGACAAAGGAGCAACACTCCGAAAGCTTGTGATTTCAAAATAAACAAACCTGTTTGGACTAAAACCTGGTGTCGTGTGATTTCAGACCTTGCACATTGGCTGGGTTTTCTACTCAGAATCCTGTAATTGGCAGCTTTTATCATTAAGTATCATCACACAACTACTCTTATCTCAGCTCATCTGCTGCTGAAGTCATCACCAGTGCCTTTGTTAGAACAGTTAAATCTCTCCCAGCCTCCTATCCTTCACCTTTCATAAACTGGAGTTCCTTAAAAACCCTGCAGCGTTTACCCCTTGCATCATGTTCCATTCACCATCATTTCTATGTTCACTGTTTAGGAATGCTGCAATTTTTAAATTCTTATCCTTATTTTCAAATCCCTGCGTGGTCTCAGAAATAACTTCACACAAGCTAGTATCCTGTCAGCGAGTCACCCTTTATTTACAGGTGGAGAGTCATTGACACTGATCCAGCTCCCTCCGAGCCAACTGTCAGAGCGAGCAGGATGTCCGACAATCTCTTTATTTAAAATGTGTCAGCCAGGGCTCCCTGATTGGGGCTTTCAATCTGATCTAATCAGGAATCTCATATTTGGAGGTCCACCTGGCTGACCTTGTTACAAGCACTGCAGCCTCACTTTACACTTTTTTCTGCAACCACCTGCTTTCCCACAACCCTCCAATTCTAGCATCTTACATATTCTTGATTTTAAAATCACTCCACCACTGGCAGCTTTGCCTGCACTGGCCCAGGCCCTAAACTTCCTAAATTTCTTCACTTTTCCTCCCTCGAGGAGACATTTTAAAATCTACGTCTTTGACCAGGTTTTTTGGTCACTTGTCATCACAAGATTTGATATGGTGCTACATGAGTTATCAGTGTCAATCTGCATGCCAGAGCTGACAGTTGTTCAACTTGGTAAGTCTACACACCAAGACAAAAATGTCTACTAGACAAATCAATCCATTCCCCGAGTTGCTGTTTGATGAAACTGTGCTGACACCCCATACTGAAATTCATTTGCAACAAACAATTGATCGCTTCTCTTGGGCATGTAAGGAGTTTGGACTGACTATCAGTGTCAAGAAGATCAAAGATATGGGCCAGATATAAAGACTTTGCAGAAATGTCCTAACTTCACTCTAGAGACCGTTGACAGATTAAATCACCACCAGGATTGCCAATATTAAAGCTGTCATATCAAAGTTGAGAAGTCAAGCTTGGATCAGCAAACTAACCAAAAATACAAAGCCCCATGTTCATCAGGCTTGTGTTCTTAAAGACCTCCTTTACAGTAGCCTAGTGGTATTATCAATAGATTATTAATCCAAAGACCACTGTAATATTCTGGGGACCTGTGTTCAAATCCCACCATGGCAGATGGTGGAATTTGAATTCTGTAATACTCTGGAAATAAGAATCTAATGATGACCATGAATCATTGCCAATTATTAGGGAAAAACCCATCTGGTTCATGAATGTCTTTTAGGGAAGGAAATCTGCCATCCTCACCTGGTCTGCCTTACATGTGACTCTAGACTACAGCAATGTGGCTGACTCAACTGCCCTCTGGGCAATTAGGGATGAACAGTAAATGCTGCCCTAGCCAGCGATGTCCATATCCATGAATGAATTTTAGAAAAGCAAAGCTTGGCAACTTAAACAAGCCAAGAAAATCAGCTGAATAACTCCCATTGCTTAAAACAAATATTGGGCAACTCCTAGTGAGGCTGAATGCAGAATATGGAAGTAGACCATCATGCACAGATCCCCAACATGGTTGCTGTTGAGTCAGTGGCAAGTTCAATAGCTGGGTCATAGATTCTGGCTGCATCCTCAAAGACATCTAATGAGCTTGCTGTTGGCACAAGACCAAGATGCTACCCAGATCTGTGATACAAGGACATCTGTCTGCGAGACCACAGGTTTAGCCGGATATTAGTCAGTTACTGGGCAGTCCTTGCTGGCATCCAGAATGCCTGGAGATCAGCAGTCAGGAAAAGTGCTAGAAGAAATGACTGGAGTCGAAAAGAGATGCTGCCTAGGGTCAAAATCATCAGTTGACCTCAAGTCAATACCAAATATCTATGCTGCAAAAGGGACTGCCACTCACAAGTTGGCCTCTACAACCACAGCAGATAATGTCCAATACAAAAGAGACATACACAGTCTATCATCTTCGGACATGTCAAACTTTGAATTAGAATTAGGTTTTATTGTCACATGTACTCAAGTACAGGGATACGGGAGTACAGTGAAAAGCTTACAATATTGCCATTCATGACACCACCTTAGCTACAACGTACCTAGGTACAAAATCTTAGGTTAAAAAGTAGAAAAATGAAGAAATAAGTTAGAAGTTTGTTTAATAAAACCCTTGAAGTGCCATGGAACATTTGATTACATTAGTGGTGATATAGAAATTCAAATTACTGTTAAAAAATAAGCCTTCATTACAATCGAGATTTTACTAAAATGTAAATATTTTATTTTTTGAAAACTATGTCTTTAACATTCCAATAATCTGGCAGTATAGCCCATGAAGGAGTATACCTATTGTAATAATGTAACCAGCCTCTCAAAGACCATGACTAGGCTAACTTCATAAAAACAATTATACCATTTTGTTTCTACAGTGTGAATATGCTGAAAAAGCAGTGGTGTAGTGGCAGTGCCACAGGTCTAGTAATCCAGAGTCCCTCGGCAATGCTCTGGGGACATTGGTCAAAATGTGACCACAGAAGATTGAATTCCTACCGTGTGGAAGCAGGACATTTGGCCCATCGAGTGCACACCAACCCTCCGTAAATCATCCCACCCAGACACATTCTCCTACCTTAGCCCTGTACCCCTGCATTTCCCAGGGAAAATCCACCTACATACATATCCCTGGATATTATGGGCAATTTAACATGGCCAATCCACCTAACTTGCACATATTTAGACTGTGGAAGGAAACCTAAGCAGACATGGAGAGAACGTGCAAACTCCATACAGTCAGCAGAGGATGGAATCACACCTGGGTCCCTGGCGATGTGAGGCAGTAGTGCTAACCACTGAGCCACTCTGCCATCCGATGGTGAACTTTGAATTCAATTAAAACAAAAATCAGGTATCAACAGCCAGACAATTGTTATAAAATTCCAATTGGTTCACTAATGCCCTTTAAGGAAGCAAATATGCCCATCCTACCTGGTGTGGTATACATATTACTCCAGACCCAGGGAAACAAGGTTGATTTTTAAAGTGCCCTCTGAAATAGCCCAAATGCCATTCAGTTGCATCAAATAAAAGGAATGAAATTGGATGGACCATCTGACATTGACCTACATAACACAAACAACAGCAGCAAACTCAACCCTGTCAAGCCGGTAAAGAACCCCTTACAGATATCTGGATCTAGTGCCAAAAGTGGGACAGCTGTCTTACAGACTAGTCAAATAACATGTGACAATCATACTCATGGACTCATACCTTAAAGTTCACTTGGCACACTTGGCATGACAGACCCAGTAGAGATGGTAGCACAGTGGTATGCAGTCAGAGGAGTTGCCCTGGAAGACCTCAACTCTGACTCAGAACCCAAGAAATCGCATGGCATCATGTCAAACATGGGCAAGGAAACCTCCTGTTGATTACCATGTAACACCTGTCCTCAGTTTATGAATCAGTGCTCCTCCATATGGAGCGCCACTTGTAGGATCTACTGGGGTGACAAGGCTACAGAATGTACTCCGAGTGGGAAACTTCAAAGTCCTTCAATAAAAGTGGCTAAGTTACACCACGACTTAGTGAGCTGGCCAAGTACAGTTCCTCCAGCAGCTCTGTGGCAGGTTGTGCAGCAAGCAAAGAGGGAAAAACATCTGTCCATGGCAACGTCGGTAGGAATGACCATCACACAGTTACTGTGGACTTAAAGTCCCATCTTCACAATGAGGATAACATCCATGCAAAATAGAACAGACTTCGAACAGATCTAGCAACTCAAAAAAGTGGTCATCCATGAGGTATTGTGACATTAGCAGCAGGAGAATTGTATTCAATAATAATCCATAATCTCATGGGCCTAATCTAACCCACACTCTACCATGGTTCAATAAAACACACAGAGCATGCCAGGAACAACATCAGGCATGCCTGAAAATGATGCACTAACCTAGTGAATCTATAATGCAGGACTACTTGCACATCAAGCAAAGGAAGCAGCGAGAAAATAAGACAGGGCTAAATGATCTAATAACCAATGGATCACAGCTAGACTCTGCAACCCTGCCACATCCAGTCATAAAGGGCAGTGGACAGTTAAACAAAATAGACGACGTGTCTTTAGTGATGAGGGAAGCCCAGACAAAGCTAAAACTGAAGTTTTCAGCATCACAACATTAAGTCTTCAACCAATTAGATTCACTCCATGTAACATCAAAAAAATGGCTGAAGGCTCAGGATACTGCAAAGCATATGGGCCCTGCCTGACAATATTCCAGCAATAGTAGAGGAAGACCTGTATCCTAGAACTGGCTGTGCTCCTAGCTAAGCTGTTCCAGTACTGCTGACATCTATGTGGCAATGTGGAAAATTGCCCAGAAATCAATGTCCATTAAAAAGTAGGACAAATCCAACCTGGTCAATTGCTACCTGTCAATCAACACTCAATCATCAAAGTGAGAGATGGGTTTGACAACAGTGCTATCAAGTGACACTTGCACAGATGCGCAGGTCACTCAATGGTGCTCAGTTTGGATTCCACACAGGCCACTCAGCTCCTGACCTCATAGCAGCCTTGGTCCAGACATGAAAAACTGAGACTCCAGAAGTAAGGCAAGATTGTCTGACCTTGACATCAAGGCAACACTTGAACACACATGGCATTAAGGAGCCCTAGCAAAACTAGATTCAACGGGAATTAGCAGAAAAACTCTGCTGGTCAGAGTCATTCCTACCACAAACAAAGATGATTATAGTTCTTTGAGGTCAATTAGCTCAGCCACAAGACATCACAGCAGCCCTCTCCTTGGTATCCCTACATCACACAGACTGCTGCAGTTCAAGAAGGCAGTTCCTCACCACTTTATCCAGGGCATTAGGAGTGGGCAGTATATCCTAGTTCAACCAGCATCTGAAGAACTAGCAGCGAGTTCTAAAAAGAAAATTACACTTAAAAAAACTCAGACTACAATTGGACATGTGTATACTGTATCTCCCTCACTATACAGCAAAGAGTCACTGCATATCAATACAATTGCTACCATTCGAAGAAGCATTTTAAAATCTAACTTGGGGAAGAAAAATATCCAATTTCGACAGTGTCTGTACCTGCCATCCTTACCTGGTTTTGCCTACATGTGATTCAGAATCACAGCAACTGCCCTCAGGACAATTTAGAATCAACAACTAATGATGCCCACATCCCATGAAAAATATCAAAAACACCAATTATGCCCAGCTTGAAATATCCCTGGTTCATTATAGGAGCTGATGACATTTTTTTTATTCATTGATGGGATGAGGGCATCGCCAGCAAGGCCAACATTTATTACCCATCCCTAATTGCCCCGAGGGCAGTCAAGAGTCATCACATTGCTGTGGGTCTGGAGTCATGTAGGCCAGACCAGGTATGGGTGGCAATTTCCTTCCCTAAAAGGACATTCGTGAACCAGATCGGTTTGTTCAACAGTCAATTATGGTTTCATGGTCATCAGGAGACTCCTAATTCCAGATTTTTATTGAATTCAAGTTCCACCCTCTGTCATGGCAGGATTCAAACCTGGGTCCCCAGAACATTGCCTGGGTCTCTGGATTAACAGTCCAGCAATACCACCACTAGGCCATCACCTCCCGAACGGATAGCAAACAAAATAACCACAGTATTATAGCTCTTAATACATGGACAGATTCCTGAGAAATCATAATTCACCTGCTTTCAGCGTGTTTTCAGGAATAAAGTGATGGATCTTTGTTGAATCTTACAGTGGAGACTACTACAATCTATTCAATTGAAACAACAATAATTTACCAGTCTTCCACACCTTAATAGGGGAACAGAATCAGGAAGCAAAGTTGATGAAGCTAAATCACTTCTCCATCTCCTGTTAGAACAGAGATCTTTTACAGCAATTTAACAAAATTAAGATCTAAGTGGAGGAAAAATATCTTAACAAGGTATTGGCAATACAAATATTTAATACAGAAAAATATAATGTGGTAGCATAACTTGTAAGTAGGACTGCAAAAAACTTCAGTTGTTCCATCAATTTGCAGGCCACAGTTTTGCATAAATCAAAGGAAGAATATATTAAGTGTAGGCTGGTGGATAATTTCATCTTGTGTATTGTGTTTCCCTCAGTTCATCATTCAAATCTCCAAAGTTACTGTAGCTTCTGGTCTAAGGTTGTTGCTTGGTGAAAGGAATTCTGGAACATATCCACATGGGGGCTGGTAAGGAGGGACTTGAAAGACGGAAGTGGACTAATCATCTTATCATGGTGTCTTTCTAAAGCCGTGGAGACAGTTGTGTATATAGGTGGGATGATAGCATTACAATCATCAGGAGCAGTGCAGAGCACATGCGGCATGCTAGAGACTGCATCAGAGATTGTTACAGCATTTGCAAAAGAGGGTATCGTAGAATCAGTTGATCCACTCAACTGAATATCAGTCATTTCCACGAAGTTACCGCTCTCCATGACTGTGCAATCACTCTCCATCTCTCGAGGTAGAAAGTCCTTTAGAAGCTTTGGGGAAGCATGTTCCTTGTCGATCTGCACTCGGATTTCCTCTTTGTGAACTGTTCTAATGTGCTTCTTGAGGTTACTTGGATGACGGCACCGCTTTCCACAGACCTAACGCATAACCAGAGCACAAAATTACTGTAGGGGTGTAAAGGAAAGTTACCAGAATGCCAGGAAAGAGCGGGAAGATGGGAAGGTAGCAATTGAACACTTTAATGCAGGAATACTGTAAGGATTATAGGATCACAGCATTTGAACACAAATTGTTACAGGTAATGCAGGAATACTACAGCTGAATGCCAGTGAACAACTTGCATTCATGTAACATACTTTACATAATAAACACACAAAGTACTTCACAAGAGCATTATAAAACAATATATGTTACACTGAACCATATTTTAAAAAAATAGTTCGGATGATGAAAAGTTTGAAAAGAAAAGAACAAGTAGCTTCAAGCACTACATTAAAACAGAACAGAGACTCAGCTATGAAAGGAGGGCATTCCAGCTAAATACATGGACACCACAGTGAAGCAGTTAGCATCGGGGATTGCATAAGAACCTATATTTATTGGAGTGCAATTATCTGGGCCTGAGAGAGATTGCTGAGGAAAGGAAGAACATGAAAACAAGAATGAGAATGTTAAAATCAAGACACCTCTTGACAAAGAGCCAAAAGTAGATCTGTGCTCATAGGTTATTACAGGAAGTACAGGAACACTGAAAATAATGTAGAACTCATAACTAATACAATTACCCTTTCTTAAAATTATATTTTTAATAAATTAATCATTTTAAGTTTTTAAATCATTTAATAACTCTTGGAAGCAAACTATGTTAAACCACAAATAATCAAGTCCCAGACACTTTTTGCAAAACTGGAGGAAAACTCTCAACTGAATGGAGTTCTACCTTGTACAAAATGAAGATGGTTATGGGTTGTTGCAGGCCAGTCATCTCCAACCCCAGGACATCTCTTGTGTGATACCTCAGGGTAGTGTCCTATACTCAACCATCTTCGGGTACTTCGTCAAGAATCTTTCATCCATCATAAAGGTCAGAAGTGGCAATATTTGCTGATGATTGCACAATGTTCAACACCATCTGCAACTCCTCCAATACTGCAGCAGCCAAAACTTCATGCAGCAAGACATTAGGCTTGGGCTGAGAAACAACAAGTAACATTTGTGCCAGAAAGTGCCAGGCAATGACCACCTCCAACATGAGAGAATCTAAAGAATCCTTCCTTGACATTTAACTGCACTACCATCACCGAATCCTCCAGCAACATCCTAGATACTACTATTGACCAGAAATTTAAGCACTTCAGCCACAAGAGAGGGCAAAGGCTGGGAATGTCGCAGAAAGCAACTCAACTAATAGGTCCCCAAAACCTGTCCACCATCTACAAAGCACAAATGTTGTGTGTGACAGAATATTCTCCACATCCTGAGTGTAGCTCCATCAATGCTTTAAGCAGTTCTTGGACACCATCCAAGACAAAGTCCATTTGATTGAAACCCCATTCACCACCTTAAATGTTTATTCCTTCCACCTCCAGTATTCAGTGAAAGCATTACATACCATCTCCAAGATGAATTTTTTCAATTCACCAAGGCTCCATTGATGGGACTTTCCAATACCAGTGTCTACCAATAGACAAACAAGGAGCATCACCACCTCCCTCCATGTCTTAATCAATCCAGACTTGGAACTATATCACCATTCCTTTACTGTCACGAATTAAAATCCTCAAAATCCCCCCATAAAAGCACAGTGGATGTACCTACAGCAGAGTTACTGCAGTGATTCAGGAAGGTGACTCACTATTACTTTCTCAAGGGAAATTGTGGCTGGGCAATAAATGTTAACCTAGCTAGTGAAGTCCAGGAAGTAAGCATCCAGGGACCCAATTTAGTTCATGAAATGGAATGAGATAAATGTCCAGTCCCTGGAATGCTTATCCCGTCTAAGGCAAACTCAAGTTTCACATACCCAAATCTCCAGGAATGTTATTCCTGAAGAAACAAAGAACAAAGCAGCACAGGAGCAGGCCCTTTAGCTCTCCAAGCCTGCACCAACACATTTTGCCCTTCCATACTGAAACTGTCTTCACTTACAGGATCCATATCCCTCTATTCCCTTCCTATTCATGTATTTGTCCTGGTGTTTGTTGCTACTGTGTCTGCTTCCACCACTTCCTCTGGCAGCATGTTCCAGGCATTCACCACTGTGTGTACCTCGCTCATTTCTTTTAAACTTCCCTCAAAGCAAACAAATGGGAAGAACAACAGGAATTCCTCTCCAATTAACAAACAAGCAAACTCTAGAAGATAGCTGAAACACACAACTAAGTCACCCCAACAGCCTCCTATATTCTTTAATTAAAACCTATCCTTTCAAATATTTCCTTATTGCTGCAATTTTCAAGTCCTAACAACATTCTTGTAAATCTTCTCTTGTACTGTCTCCAAAGCGATTATGTCCTTCCTCTCAGTGACCACAACTGTACACAAATATAAGCTGTGGCATAACCAGCATTCTATATAATTCCATAACACATACCTGCTTTTGTGCTCTATATTTTATCCTGTAAAGGAATGCATTCAAATGTCTTCTTTACCACCTCTCTTACCTATATGGTCACCTTCAAAGACATGGGGACATGCTTTCTTACTTCCTCTACCACTCTCAATATCCTCCCGTTTGTTGTGTTCCCTTGCTTCGTTTGTCATCGCCAAATGCATCACATCAGACTTCTCCAGATTGAATTCCATTTGTCACTTTACTGCCTACTCAAACAAACTATTTATGTCTTCTTGCAATCTATAGCCACCGACTTCACTATGAACTACCTGGTTAAATTTGCAGATGACAAAAATTAAGTGCAAACCATTAATATATACAAAAAGAAGCAAGAGATCCAACACTCAGCCCTGTGAAACAATACTGGAAACGTCATTCCATTTGCAAAAACATTCAAAGATCTTGTTTCCTGTCACTAAGGCAGTTTTGGAGTGTAGGATTAATGGTTAAATAATCAAATATAATTTTGAGGAGAGGTCTCCCAAGTACCAATGTACCAAACCCAAAACCACGTCCATCTGCAAAGTAGAAGGCAACAAATACATGGGAACACCACCACCTCCAGGTTCCCCTCCAAGCCACTCACTGTTCTGACTTGGAAATATGTCACCATTCCTTCACTGTCACCCGACTCAAAATCCTGGAAATCTACCCACCTAAGGCATCATAGGTCTACCTGCTGCAATTCATAAGGCAGCTCACAACCACCTTCTTGAGGGCAACTAGGTGTGAGCAAAGCCATGCCCATATCCCACAAGTGAATAAAAGAAAGAACTATCATCACTGGCTGTTCACCCGTGCCCAGAAAAATGTCCTGCAGCTACGCTATGGCATTCTTAACCCCTAGCACAGGGAAGCAATATACCATCTTAAGGCTGCATCTATGGACACTGAAATACTTGGCTGTTTTCCTGATTAACGAATTCCCTATCACTACTGCTCCTCACTACTTCTTCCTCCTCACTTGTACAACTGAGCCACCCATGGTGCCACCAACTTCGCTCTGACTGCACTCCGAGGAACTAATGTCCTCACCAAAATGGGAATCCGATTAGTGAGCAGGACCTCAGTAGAGTCTTGTACGACTTGTCTGGTGGTCACCCATTCCCATGTTCCTAGTCTGCAGCGTAACCACCTCTCTGCACTTGATATCCACATAGCTCTCAGCCTTGTAGATGTGCAATAGTTATTCCAACTGCTGCTCAAGCACCAAAACCTGCAGCTCAAGTTTCTGCAGCTGGTGACACTTCCTGCAAATGCTGTTGGCTCAATCACCAATAGTGGCCATGACTTCCCATGTACAACAGGATGCACATTCCACATGATCAAAATACCCTGCCGTGACTTACTTTACTTCACTAATGTTAACATTATTTTAATTTTGGTTTATTTATGTAAATTTCATACAACTAGGCTTTAATTCAATAGGCCTTGCAATTATTGATGAATCTTACTACTACTAAATCTAACTAACACACAAGTCCTGAACAGCAATGGCTGATTTACCAACTAACCAACTCATGACTTTTGTCTGACATCACTAGTTTTCTGTCTTAATCCAGCTGAGTTGCAGCTATCAGACCTGCCTCATCTTTCATTGCTGTCCTGAAGGTAAACACTCTGGGCCTAATGTAATTTTGATCAAACATCACTGTAATGGGAAAGAGAGGAAAGCCAATCACTTTACTGTTCTTCCATAATGCCTGTCTCAGGGTCTTTTTCCTCTAAGTGCTGCTAACTGCCCATGTTTCGATTCTCTGCTCAATTGCTCCTGTAGGTGGAACTGTCTGTTGGGGTTGCTCCACTCAGTTGCTCGTCTCAAATATGACACACAAAATCACATTCATTTACACAGCAACATTCTATCTGGTTTATTAGCTCAGTCACATTTATCACATTGCACAAGCTGAAAAGTGTAGAAATATTTTTCTTACTTTATCTCACATTGTTTAGTGACATGCTAAGAAAATAGGTTGAAACTGGCCAATGAGACTCAAATGTAGCACATGACATAATTCAATGTTACCTCATGGATGACAATTATTTCCTTGCTAAACTGACAGCAACTAAATTTAGTTCCTCAAATTAGAAAGCAGTGTTAGAAACCAGAAATTCTAGGTCACGAAAGAAACACTGATTGTCTATATAGGCTGACATTCCAGAGAACAGAATATATCACTAGAAGCTGAAGAATAACAATTCAGACGATCTCAACCAGAACTTTATGCACATCTACTTATGTGTCAAAGAAAGATGCTCAAGTCCAAACTAAAATATTATTCACAATAGCAAATTAACATTTATGAAGCCTTTCACAGTCACAGAATGGCAGAAAGCATTTTCTAACCAGTTATGTAGCAGAATGGCCCAAATAACAGATAAAATACAAATAGCCTGAATTAAAGCAGCTACCATCAGACCTTAATCAACCAAGGGCTACTTCACCATGGAAACCAGGGTTTAGCTTGTTCATCAATAAACAGTTCCTTCCACATCAGTTTTTCTCTAGCAAAAATGAAGACCAACCAACCAGTCAGTGTTAGCTGGGACAGTACAAGCCTTTTATGATTTTTCTTCATCACAGTTCATTTTGATTAATTTTTTTTTTACATTTTAGGGAGATCTCAGCCAGGCTGAGGACATGTTGTGATAAGTGTGACAGGACCTTGATGCTTGGGAAATTGGAGAGTCATTGGTTTGGGATGAGGAGTTATGAAAGGAGGAAGAAGAGATAGTCACCAGAGTTCTTGCATTTGACTGCTATCTGATTTTTCACCCTTATTGGCCAAGCTGTTATTCCGTTTCTTCATTGTCTCTCTAGGACATTACCTGACTGTAATGAAATACTAACTGTATAGTTATGCTGCTTGGGCCTGTGTGAAAATGGCACAAATTTTGATGGAACAACTAGACCTTCCCTATTAATTTTTAATGCTTGAACCCCTTCAAAAACAGTTTCACTAAGTTAAGGGTTAAATTTTAATAGCAAAAAACCACAGGAACACAGATGTACAAACACAATCAGCAAGATAGCATCAGCCTTGGGTGAAACATAGGCAATGCAGTATAAAATCTGGGAAACTGCAGAAATATAGCAATCGCATTATGTAATGCTATAATATTTTGGACAAAGCTGAGTGGAGTTGATTTTACACTTCATGGTGATAAGACTAGCTCTCCTTGCACATGCATGAAAATTTCTGAAGGGTCCAGACCCAAAATGTCAGCTTTCCTGCTCCTCTGATGCTGCTTGGCCTGCTGTGTTCATCCAGATCTACACCTTGTTATCTCATGAAAATGGTGATCCTGTTTCAGGAGTGTCCTCTCAATTTCTCGACTTGTGCGATAACATTGTATGCCAGCCTTGTTTGATGTTGCAGCTAAGGCTCAATATATATGCTAATGTTCAATAATTTGCGTAAATGTCAAAATCTATAATCACTATGCCTCATGATTTTATGTAGACATTAAACCTACTGCTGTGCTATTAAAAACAGTGGTCTTCTGCTACCAAATATAAACACTGTGGATACAAGAGGAAAAGAAACTTCAGAAATAGCAGCCACATTTCAGAATACCAGCTTCACAGTTCCTCCAAAAACTCAATGATTTGATCTGGCAAGTGCTAAACTGTACAAGCCAGGCAGGCCCAGACTCAGATGGCCTGAGGTGTATCGACAAGTTTTGGGCAAATTGGATCATAGACAATGAACTTTCACTTCTTGGAAAATGGGTTCAGACCAAACTTTTCTGCAAGTCCAAATAAGAGGTGATACATACACAGTTTCAATCCAGGTTAGAACGAGCACAGGCCTACAGTACAAAATGCAAGGTAATTCAGCTACAATTGGCTTGGTAATTTCTCTCAGATGCAGGATACATATCTGCACTGTGCAAAAAAAAACTTTGCTTATTAGGAGCAGTTGGAAATGGGGCCCATGATGCAGTTGAATTAGTTTAATCTGAATCCAGCTGTGTGCTACCTGATAAGAAAGGGCCTGAATATGGCATGTGGTACACACAACCTCAGTTTGCTACAAAACAAAGTGAGTAAACATCATTTTTACACAATGCCAACCTGCAGATCATATTTACATAAACCCCACCTGCAATTAACCATCACGTTTACATCACAATTACCATTTGTGAAAAACAATCACCTGGACACAAACCCCCACACAAAATAAACCATCACCTTTAGACAAAGCCCACTTGTGGAAAGCCATCACCTACAGAAACCCAATTCACAATAAGCCATCACTGATCTTCAGAGCCCTTCCACAATTAACCCATACACAAAGCCCATTTGTGAAATACTATTGCTTTCACACAAATCCAACCTGCAATAAACTATCAGAGACAACAAGGTGTAGAGCTGGACAAGCACAGCAGGCCAAGCAGCATCAGAGTAGCAGGAAAGCTGACGTTTCGGGTCTAGACCCTTCTTCAGAAATAAACTACTTTTGCAAAGTGGCTGGATCTGTCCACAGAAATGACCCAGAGCTTCCAGTTGCCCACCATTTCAACACACCACTGTGTTTCAATGCCAACATATCTGTCGCAGGCCTGCTGCAGTGTTCCAGCAAGCCTCAGTGCAAGGTCGAAGAACAACATCATTTTCTACCTGGGCACCCTGCAACCTCTAGGACTCAATATTGAGTTCAAAAACTTTAGAGACCCTGACTCCATCCTTCTATACTTTTAATTCATCCCACACCTGGTCCCATTATGACATGGGTTGCTTTTAGCATAGTCACCCATTCATACGTAATCCTAGGCCCATTATCAATTATATGAGTTGCATTCAGCAAAGCTAACCCATTTTCTCACTCGTAGCTCTTATTGTTATTTATTCAGCTTCTGTCCATAAATACCTACTAATAGTTCTGACAAAGTCACTGGACTTGAGAAACTAACTCTGCTATTTTCCCTCACAGATGCTGCCAGACTTGCTGAGTTTCTCCAGCAATTTTGGCAGTAATAAACCATCACCTTTACTCAAAGCCTATCTGCAGTAAACCATCGCCTTTACGTAGTTGTTGGTCTTCAGCAGTACTTACACGGCACTGATAAGGCAGCTCCCCTGTGTGGGTCCACGTATGCCTCTTCAGCTCTGACAAGCGATAAAATGCCTGTAGACAGAACTTGCACTGGAACTTCTTAATGCCACTGTGAACCAAAATGGAAGGAAAGGTATGGCAGCAATCCAACATTCTTGCCACAGTCATTTCATAAATTTAAAATATTACACCAAAGCAGCAGAAACAGGATTCTGCCATTGAACTGTCTTAACGTGTTTGCTTATTCCATTAGAGCACAGCTGATTAAGACCTCAACTCCATTTTCCTACCTTTGTCTATATTTCTCAATGCTGACAAATATGCATTATTCTGTTAGTATTGAATACTTCATTTGACCCAGTATCTGCTGCACATTGGAGAGAGTGATTTCGATCACCCTTTCCTGAAATAGTGCTTGCTAATTTCACTTCTAATGATCTTGTGCAATTTTAAGATGGGACCCCTTGTTCTTGATTTCCCCCACATAAGGAAATAGTTACTTCAAATCAACCATTTAAAATCTATGTAATTTTTAGATCAATCCTCAACTTTCTAAGTTCAAAGGAATAACAGCCCAACGTTATGAAACCTGTCCTCAAATTTTAATAACTTAAGTATTAGCTGTGCCTCAACCGTAGAAATCTCATACTCAAGTAAGAAGGCTGGGGATTAAGGTTTCATGCCCAATGCTCAAATACAAAATCTAGGCTGATACTTCAGTGCAATACTGAGGGAGTTCATGACTTTAGGAGGTGCCTTTTACAGATAAGCATTATACTGAGGCCCTGTCTGCCCTTCTAGGTGGATATGAATGATTCTAAAGCGAAGATCTACGGAGTCCTCATCAATATTTGTCCCTCAACCAATATCGTTGGAAGAGATTAGCTGGCCACTTACTGCAACGTTTTTGTGGGATCTTGCTTTACACATTCCTACAATAGTAACTATACTTCAAAAAGGCTGAGAGACATATGGAGTATCTTTCACAACCTTTAAGTTTAATTTCCCTTAACTTTTCTTGGATGTTGCTGGTACAACTCACCAACTGCCTACCATCCAGGAACCCCAGTTCTTTGATTGTACCTGCAGAAAATCTTGTGGCTCTTGTAGTGTTTCACAGCCTGACCGCAGAATTCACAGAGCTGCACCAGGGGTGGTTTTCCTTTTGATGCTTCCATATGCTTCACACGGATGTGCTGAGTTAGGTCATCTGAAATGTTTTTAAACTCCTGGTTAATGAAGTATCACTGTTTAGATTTCAGTGCACTTCTAGCACTAAACACACAGGAACTTCAAAAATCAAATCATATTTTTACATGTTCTGTGCACAATATCAAACATCTCACAGCCACTGAAGTCTGTTACAATATTGTTCAAGGATGCTCACTGTCTTCCATTAGCTCACACAAGTGACTTCATACATGTTACACTGGCATGCTATTAGAACAGTATAAGAGACATCGCAGAGGGTTGGCCTGTCTTTATAAATATCCACACAGGAGATTTTATTTTTAATTAATCATTGTTGGAATGAGAGTGTCACAAACCAATCCAGAATTAACTTCCTATCTCCAGTGGTACAGTTAGGTTTTACTCCTGATCATCATTTCAGACTCAATTCAATTTGAACTACATTTTTTATAAAAGTCTATATGAAAAGTAACCGATCAATGACCATTTGTGGAGTTAAGTTCCAAATTATTGAAATATTTTCAAACTTCACTTCTGAAAGGTCAAGATCTCATTTTTAAAGCCAATTTGCCTAGTCTTAAAATCCCCAAACAGTGGAACTAGTTTCTATCTGACTGTCCCATCAGTTCCCCTTAATAATTCGAAAACTTCAAAGTGATACCTTAACCATCTAAGTTCCAGGAAATATAACACGAGTTTGTGTAATCTCTCATGATTTAACCTTTAGAGTTGTGCAGTCGCTTTGGTAAATCTATGACCCACTCCCTCCATGCCTACTACATTTTTCCCAAAGGTACAGTGCACAGAACTAGACATAGAAGGAATTAGTGGAGTAGGAGCAGGCTATTCAGCTCCTTGAGCCTGCTCCACCATTCTAGATTATGACTGATAATCTGCCTCAATGCCATTTTCCTGAACTACTCCCCATATCTCGATATCATTAGTATCTTGAATCTATCAACCTCTATCCTGAACATACTCAATAACTGTGCTCCTGCAGCCCTTTGGTTAGAGAATTCCAAGGATTCTGTGTTATCTCAGTTTGAAATAGTTTACCTTTACCTTAACCTTAATTTCCTCATTCAAAGAATCCTTCCTCCAAACAAGGGAAGCACCCTTTCTGCATATACCCTGTCTAGCCCTTTACAAATTATGAATTCTTTATGAATTTGTATTAAATAACCCATTAAATAAATTCTAGAGAATACAATCTCCTCAATGTCTCCTCAGAGGACAGTCCAACCATCCTATGAATTAGACTGGTGAACCACCTTTGAACTCTTTCTACAGAAAACATATTCCCCCTTAAAGGGAATCAAAACTGTACATCATATGTCCGGTTCAAACAAGTGAAGCAAGAAATTTTCACTCTTGTACTCAAATCGTCTTGCATAAAAGACCAACATACCATGTTGCTTCCTAATTATTTACTTCACTGCACATTAGCTTTCAGTGATTTATGAATAAGGATACAGGTCCCTTTGGACATCAACAGTTCGAAACTTTAATCATTTACTCTGCACTTCCATCCATCCTTCCAAAATGGGCAACTTCACATTTGTATTTCATCTGACATGTTCTTGTCCACTCATCAAGTCCAATTCCCATTGAAGCCTCTTTGCATCATCCCCACAATGCTCATTCCCACCAAGTTTTGTGTCATTTGCAAACATGGGAACATTACAGGTGGTCTCTACATCCAAATGATGGATATGGTTTATATACAGCTGGGCCCCAAGCCTTGAACTTTGTCGTACACCCACTAATACTTTCCTACTTTGTTTTCACTCTACTGACTAATCTTCCATCCATGCTAGTAATTATCCCCAACTTTGTTTATTTACCACCAGACAGGAGCCTACTTGGAAGCTTTCTGAAAAGTCAAATATGCCACCACCCCATCAGTTTCCCCTTATATACGATTAGAAACATCCTCAAAAACTCCAACATGTCTATTGAACATTATTTCTCCTTTATAAAATCTATGCTGGCTTTGCAAAGTATTTCAGGTGTGACCTTTAACATGTCTTCTACATTCACCCATTTTGTCGGAGTCCTCTTGAAATCCACCATTCTATTTGCCTTTCTTATTATTTTCTGTTTTGTCCAGAACATTTTATCGATTTAAGTACACAGAAGCCCAAGTCTCTTTGGAGCACTACTGTCTCTAACATGTCACCATTTAGAAAGTACCTTGTTCTACTCTTTTAAACTCTACTTGTCACAGTTTTGCATATTCACTTAATCTATCAATTATGTTTTGTAAATGTGTTGGAGTTTTGGTACAATGGTATCCTGACTATTCCAGAATCCTATTGGAAGGCATGCATTAAGACCTTAAGTCCTCAATTGCAGACATGGATCAGAAAGATTTTATGATGTAGTTACATAAGATTAGTTGCAAAAAGGGAAAGGTGTGAAATTCAACTTCATCCATGGCATAAAACAATTTGTAGCAGATCAGTTGTTGGTTGCTGCAAGGCCTTTGTGCAGAAGTGGGTATACAAACAAATAAATTCTGTCGAACTGGGTGTGTGGAGTGGCATCCCAAACAATGAAACAATGAGAATGCCCTTACTACTACAGCCATCTGGTCCTGCAGATCTTCAAGTCTCAAACCAGACCCTGTGAGGAACGTTCGCAAGGGAAGGTGTAATGACAAAACAAAAAACAAAACAGACACCTACTTTATACCCTGCTCAATCTTCTTTACCAATGAAGTCAATAAAAAGGAAATGAGACCCAATGAATGACGGGCAATCTATCCATTACATAGAATTTCACTCCTAAACGATTTCTGTGGATTTTCACCACAATGATGTACTGAGTTATTGAATATAATGGTAAGTTTACCAGATGATCACAGAATCCATTCACCTGAAAAACATTTTACTCATACTTACTTTTCACTTTATATGCCTTGTCACACAGGCTACACTGATGGGGCCTGGCATCCCCATGGTATGCCACGTGGTCACGCAGCTTTTCCATGGACTTGAGTTGTTTCCCACACTGGTCACACTGATATAATTTCTTGCTGTGATGGGTTTTCTGGTGTTGGCTAAGCTGACAGCTAGAAAAACAAAGTGACTTTCAATCGTCCATTTTGTTAACCATTAGAACATCTTCTGAAAGAAAAAGTGCTGGTGCTCAGGGTACCAAACAATCTGAAAACTTTAATATGAGTGTGCAAAATCAATTACTTGCTAATAAATTAGACAACTGAGGTGTGCATGAGAGGAGGGAGTAGGGAAGAGAATGGCATAAAATTTGGTATCAAAATTGACAAAGGCCTTTGCCGAAATGATTCTTGAGCAAGCCATGTATCAGGATACTAGAAGGCTCTGAGAAAATTTACATCCTATCATTTAAGAGCTTGATGATTCATGTCTCCTGATTTACCTTCCATTTTTTCCTCTCCCAAAAAAGGTAATATAGACCAACATTTCTCCACTCTTCCATATATTAGTTTGTTTTTAGTCATATTTAAATGTGCATAGATATTAAATTAATCAATCTACATTTGTCATTGAATTATTTTACCACTTATCTGGTTCACTAATGTTCTTTAGGGAAGGAAACCGCCATTCTTACCTGGTCTATACTACATGTAATTCCTGACCCATAGCAATGTGGTTGACTATTAACAACCCTCTGGGAGCCAGCATTGCCCTCATCCCGTGAATGAATTAAAAAAAAAACAACACTTTTAATAACACATTTCCCCCAACGGCTTGCAACAAAAAAGCAAATTTAACACAGAAATACACAGGTCAGCAATGTTGAGCGTGATGGGGCAAGCGGGGTGGTATTTAGTGTGAGATAGAATATGGGAAGCAAAGTATTGAATGAGCTGAAGTTTGCATCAGCTGAAAATTTGCAGACTGACCCAAAAGATCATTGGAATAAAATCACAGAATGGTTACAGCACAGAAAATGTTCTTTTGCCTTTCATGTTCACGTCGACTCTCTGGAAGAATAATTTAGTTAATCCTGCTTGCCCACCTTTCTCATCTCTCCCTGGAAAGCATCTTCAGATGTTCATCCAATAGTCAAGTCAGAAGGTGGAACAGACAGAGGATTTCAAAGGCAGGGGCCTAGCTGGATGATGGCACAGAGATGAAAGTAAATAACCTCTTTGATGGAAAGAATATGGTGCTAGAAGCTCAGCTGCAGCTAGAACAGGATATAGAGGTTTCAAACTGTTTGATTCAGCTTGAGATTATGGCCAGGGCTGTAAGTATTGGCTTTGGTATTTCCATCACTTTGCTGGAAGTTACTACAGCTTTTCTAAGAATGAGGTCGGATAAGCAGTTTTGAGAACACAGGCAGTGGAGTAGGTGAGAGAAGTGGTGGTCAAATAGAATTTGACTTTATCAACGAACATGTGGAACCATACAATCTAATGTTGCAAAGGGATAGGCTATAGATAAGGAAAAGGAGAGGTAAACCCAAGGTGACAGTGCAGGTAAGGGAAGAGAAGCCATTGCTGAAGAACCTCTGTTGAATCAACTGAAGAAAATCTAATCAAATTGAACGATAAATGGAAGTTATCGGAGAATGATGCAGCTCATTGTGTAAAAATGCAACCACAAAGAAACTGAGGAAATGTAAAATAGCACTTTAATGTGGATCTCATCCACAATTTTATTTAGAGCTATTTTAGTGCTGCAGAGTGGATGCAAAACTAACTGGAAGTTATGGGAGAAGCACATTGCTGTGTTTGTGTGTGCACGCACACGTACATGGATGCAAAAGTCTCTGCACATAGCCCTGGGCCAATATTCCATTTTTCTGTTCTATAAGCAGCACAGGGTTTACAAGGTTAGAACCAAATTCCAGACAAGAATTAAACAGGAAAATGAGGGTACACTGAAATAGCTATAAGCACCACCACAATCTTGGTACCGATTATGTTATTGAACTAACATTCAGAGAACAGGAGTTCAGACTCCATCATGGCCATCAGTTTGAGAAGCTAAATTTCATTACTTGCTTTAAAATCTGAAAATAAAACAGTGGTAGCCGTAAACGTGACACAGAACATATCAGACCATTATAAAAATCCAAATGTTTTACGAATATCTTTTAGGGAAGGAACCCTGGCATCCTCATCAAGATTGCCCTCTATGTGACTCCAGCCCCGTGTCAATATCATTGATTCTTAATTATCTTTTAAAAAGTTATTCAGTTGAAAGGAACTGGTTTAAGGTAATGGTCCACCATCATCCTGGCAATAAATACCAGCGCTGACCATATTCTAGTATGAATTAAAAAAGCTAACTGGCTGCGCAACACAATACATCATACTTGACGTGCTGTGATAACCCAGAGTTCTGTAGAAGCAGCAACTCACCTGTAACTGAACAATTTCACACACACATCACAGCTGAACAATTCCCCACCAGCAGAAACCTGATGAGAGAGGTAGCGTGTATATGGCAGCAGCTTCTTACAACCTTCACATCTCAGTCGTTTCCTTTCCAGAATGTCATCTCCATCTTCTGAAAGGTCCTTGGTTATTAGTACAGAGTCCTTCTGTTGTTTCTCCTTTGATCGTTTTGGTCTTCCGCAATGTGTCACTAACGAAGATTCCACATTCAAAGATGGCAAAACACTGGTGCTATTTTTGACACTACCATGAACACCACTGTTTGAGTTTCTCTCCTCCACAGCAATATTTAGAATTTCAGGCACAGCCTTTTTCTGGGATTCACTTATTCTCACTTTGGTCCACTGACATGAAACTTTACAATTCTCTGATTTGGCAATAATATCTTGATTCTCTTTCCTGCCATTCGCATGAATTAGTCCGGTCTTTGGACATCTTGATTTTCTGTTAGAAGCAATTGTTCTAGCTAATCTGGCAGTCTGCAATCGAGTTTTGATTTTGGCCAAGCATGGTCTGTGAACCTTTTTGTTAACAACTGATTCATTATTCATTTCAGTCTTGCAAGGTGGACTCACCGCCTGTACAGAATTATCTTCCTTCATTCTCTTAAGCAACTCTAGGTTTTCCAAGTCTAAACCCACTTCTTGGTTCCTTACAAGAACATTTCTTAATTTACAGATCTCTTTGTCTAATATTTGACCATTACCATTAATTCCACTCTTCTCCATGTGAAGCTTTACTGGTACACAAACATTCAAACTCTGAGCAGCTGAAAGGAAGTCACTCATGTGACAACCTGGGACCTTAGAAGTATAAAAATACTCTAACAAATGGCTAAAACCCTCCAAGCTCACTGTGTCCAGAACAACTGTGCACTCCTGGTTATTCTTGCTCAGGGTTGTATAAAAGTAGCTGCTGCATGCAGACAAGATGTTTTTATGAGCATGAAAAGTCTTTCCCTCCACAACAACTGCAATATCACAAAATAAACCTATAGCTCGCTGTTCATAAAGTTTCTGAAGAATTGCTTGACAGTGATTGTAACGTTCTTTAATATAGGAAGGACTCTCCATTTCCTCCAAAAGATTCAATGAATTTGCACTTGCATTAAGACTTCTCAAAAGGAGAAACGAATAGCAGGCCAAATCAAGCACCACAAATGCTTAAAAAGTGCAGTTTGTAATGATCTACAATCCAAATGTTCTCAGTTCCTCTGAAGAAGCTGCTTCTTCTCAATGTGTTTACTGTAAAAACAATTAAAGTAGTAATTTAAATCAGAAGGACTTTTTACATTAAATTTTGTATCTAACACTAACAACCACTTGCATTTATATAGCACCGCTAACAATGAAAACAAAATCACAAGTTGCTTCCTAGGTGTATTATAAACAAAATTTGAAACTGGCAATATTATTATGTCAGGTGCAAAAAGCTTGGTCAAAAATATAGCTTTTAAGGAGCATCTTAAGAGGAAAGAGGAGAAGCAAGGCAACAAGATTTAATAAGAGAACTGATGACCTTCAGCCAGTCACCAATGAAGTAACTGAGAGTTGGGCAATGCCACGGGAGTGGAAATAATCTTCATAACGGTACGGCTATGTAGTCAGGACGGGATTCACGGATGGATCCAGGGGAAGTGAAGAACAACCAGAGATTATGATGCAGAAGTAGGAATATAAGTGATTACAGGTGATTCTCGGATGGTCATACAGCTCAGGTTCATGAAATAGTCACATCTGGTCTCAATTTCCAAAGCAAAAAGGCAGTGCCTTTTGCAAGCTTTAGGGTTAAATGATTCCTCCGCAGTGCAGTAAAGTATTATAATAACGTACAGTCGCTCATGCGGGAGTACAAGCATCCCAACATCTCGCGCTCACGTAAAACACTTCAAGTTTTACTCATGGGACTTATTTTGACATACTTCACTCGCTTAAGTAGGTTCTTAAGTGCCTCTGTCCATTTTATTCTGATCCGCGGTTACTTCCTCAAACTTCCCTTGACGTTGACAAGTCATTCTGTGAGCAAGGAGGGAAGTTAACGGACGTTTTTCAAATCCGCCGGCTCCCGGCTGCACTGCAAGCAATGTCAAAGAGAACGGGTCTTCTGGGAAGTCGGGGCAGCAGAACTCCAAGACGGCAGGCTCTGCGCCCGGGATTACACCGCCATGAAGCCGCTGTCACCGGCCCGGTCTGTGGGACAGGGATTCCCCCGCGGCCCCTCTCCGCCGGCTGTACCCGGGAGACAGGGAGAGCCCACTCGGGGGGGGGGAAGCAGCCCGACTGCGGCCTTCACCCGCACACGCCAAGCTGGGCCCTGAAACAACTTTCTTTATGGGAAAAAAAAGAAATAAACCCTCGCGCCCCAGCTCTAAGGACCTCCCTTCTCCCCCCCCTCACCTTCAAAGGAATCTAGAACACACTCCTTCACCGGCGACCACCCGCCGCCTCTGGCCTTTGACCTCTGACCCCCGACTTCGCGGAGCCAGGCGGCCCTCGGGGAGGACAGGGGGGAGGTGGTTGCTAGGTGACCGGTTGCTCAGAGGCCATCTCACTGATCGCGATCGGGTTCCTCACTTTTTGACGGGTTGGGCTTTGAGGGAGATGCCAGTGTAGGCTGCAGTTTCACTGATAGCTTTGTAGGTTGTCGCACCAATTATCAAGTGGGAGTGGATTGAGCAGCTCTTGGTGCTCTGTCAGTTTGGAAGGTCTCGCCTTTGAAGATGCCTTTGCCATTTTACACATGATTCTGCATCTGCTTCCACGTGTTCATGTCAGCAGAGCAGACCTGGAGGCTTCAAGACTGTCTTTGAAACATTTCCTTTAACCCCGGGAAATATAGTGATGTGCAGCCACATGTGAGAAGATGTCATGATCTGTGGAAGGAACCAGAAGCAAAGTCCACAGTGATTTTGTCCATGGAGAAAGAGCAAGCTAACGTTTCGATTCTAGACATCTCTTCTGACAGCCACTGACAGGGATCATGGTGAGCAGTGCTGCAAGGTGCAGTGTGTTTGGAATAGGAGCATAGGTCTTTTTGAACATGATTTGGAGAGTCACAGTTTCCTGACTCTTGGTGATCTGGCTGCTTTTCATGTGTTCAGGTGCTCTTCCAGTTGTGTTTAGCAGCTCTATTTTCTCTTTGCCTTGCGATACCAGAAGGGTAGCAACTCTTCACAGCACCAGGCATTTACGTCCAATTCTCTTAGCAGCTTGCGCTGATCCGATGGTACCTGCGTATCAATAACCAAAGCCCAACCCAGATACCCAACATCTCAAAGGGCCCACCTAATTCCTCAGAGTGGACAGGACCGTCTCTCCAATGTGTGTCCACCTGCATTCACCTGGTTTGCATGGACACGGCAGGTGTAGCTTTTGCACGCTCATCAAAATCAGAATGTGTCCATCAACAAGTTCAGATCAGGCAGAATTTTGGGATCACCCTCTCCCTTCCTTGATGACTCAGTGGAAATGGCATTTGAAAACCAGAATGTTGAGTGGTACTGATATTTTCACCTCTTGCCCAGTTCCATTCCTGCCAGCGGCGCGACCTGATATTTCAGCCCTTTAAGAGGGTTGAGCACTTAGGAAGGATTAGATATTCAACAGCAAATTCAATGCAAAATTAGCCCTTCTTAAATAGCTTATAATTTAGCCTAGACACTGGAATATATATAAATGTTGTCTATAATTCATTTTCTTCAATTTGAGAGTTTACAAGTACAACGAGTCTGCACCTCCGTTTGGAAGCATTTAGATAATTGATTTCTGTTAATTGCATTCTGTTGACTTTAGTTATTACTCATAAAGTTCGCTTGGTAATTGTACACCAAGGCACTCCAGCACAGAAGAATATAATGACACCTGTAGCCTCTGTTCTGCTCGTCTGATACTACAGAAATAAGGAATTCAAGTATACTCAAATAGTTGAAACCACTGTAGGAATTGAAATATTACATGAATATTTCTATCTGGCAATTTAACTTGCATGAATATTTCCTTTGAAGCATTTGATCCATAAGGTTCTTGCAAAGATTTTTAGCTCGAGTTGTGGATGAGGTTGTTGGCTTGCTCGCCAAGCTGGCTAGTTATCGTACAGATGTTTCATCACCAAGCTAGGTTACATCATAAGTGCAGCCTCCAATGAAGCGGTGTTGTTCTACTCCGCTTGGAATTTATATGATCCGGTCTGTTAAGTTGGGTTGTGTTATTTCCGGTTCTGTTCTGCATGGGTTTGTATATGGTGTCTAATTCCACATGTTTGTTGATTGCATTACAGGTTGAAAACCAGGCCTATGGGAATTCCCATGCGTGTCTGTGGTTGGCTTCGGCTAAGATGGTCACGTTGTCCCAGTTAAATTGATGGCCTTCATTGTCCGAGTGCAATGAGATGTGGGAAAGTTTGTCATGTCGTTTTGCTGCTAGCTGGTGTTTATGTATCCTAATGGCTAGTTTCCTTCCGGTCTGGCCAATGTAATGTTTGTTATTTAGTTCGAGACAGTGACCATGGAGGAAGGATGGAATTGGTAGTGAACAGTTTGTAGCAGGGACTGAAAAAAAATAGCTTTGGCCTACTGATATTTAACTATGGAAGTTACAGCTATTTTGGGAATGGATACCAGATAGGCAATCTGACAATAAAAATGTGGGGGGACAGAGAGAGGTGGTCATGAGGAAGAGTTGGGTGTTATCAGTATACATGTGGAAGTGGACCCATGTTCGTGATATACAGCCAAGGAGTAACATGTAGATGCATTCAAGGAGAGAGCCAAGGGCAGAAATTGGGGGACTCCATGGTTAATGTTGCAAAAGTTGGGAAGAGAAAACATCTCTGTAATTGCTCTGACTACAGCTGAATAGATGAGTGAAACCAAACAAAGGCATTGCCTCTGAACTAGACAGTGAAAGGGATGATAGAGGAGGGATGATGTACAATGGAATCATGATGTACAATGGAATCGTACGCAGAGAATGTAATTTGTGATTTGAACTGCTTAAGTGCTGTGCTGGGCAAAATGTCAAGACCCTAGTTGGGTATTGCAGCCAATTCTTGGCACATTACCGTAGATAAGAAGCACTCAGAGAGAATGCAAATGACATTTACAAGAATGCCTCTGGGCATGAAGTTTAGGTATATGGGGAAACCAAAGAAATTGGTGTTTTTGTCCTTAAATAAATATTGAGAGAATATTTGATAGAGGTGTTCAAAAACATGAAGGATTTTGTTGTAAATAAAGCAAAACCATTTCCAGTGATAGATGGATCAGTGGATCTAGATTTAGGATATTTTGCAAAAGAGCTCGAGGTAATTTGAGGATTTTTTGTTTGTGAAGAACAAGACATTTAATCAAAAATGCCTAAAAGAGTGTTGAAAGGAGATTCTGTAATAACTTTCAAAAGGAATACCTGCCCAAAGAAAAATACTTGACAGGGTAATGCGGAAAGAGCAGAGAGTGGGACTAATTGGCTAACTGTCCCAAAGAGCTGGCTTAATTGGCCAAATAGTTGCCTTTATTCTATGAGTCAATGAAGGGAAGAGTAAATGTTTAGCTGAAGATAAGGACATCAAAGATAGAGTAAGTGAATTGTCGATCTGATCACTGACTGCACAAGTAAGTATTTTGAATGAACGACTAATGGTTAAATAATTGGCAGTTAAACATAGTTGATTAGGGATAGCTCTTGTTTCAAAATGGCAATGTGATTGAAATGGGAATGTGGATTGTATCATAATTTGTAGGAAGGTAAAGTTGAGGATTATCAGACCAACCATGCCATCTTGAATCATAGAGCAGATTTGATGGGCCGAATGATTTTATGGATTATGACGAGTACAAGAAAGTGATTGTGATTATGAGAGTAGTGAGCCTATGTGAGGTGGAAAGAGGTTGTGTCTGTGTGTATGGGTTGGACAGTGGAAAAAGACTCATGTCAAACATAAACACTAACTTAGACCAGATGGGCTGAATGGCCTTATTGCACTTTCTGTATAATCGTTTTTCATAAAATTTGCAGAATTAGTCTGTATTGTCCTCTCATTTTTCTCTATAAACAATAAAATTATAAGCATGCATGAGTGTTTAGTGAATGAGTAAAAATTCTAATTCTATTAACAATTATCTACATGTGGTCTTTATTTGTTTTTCTCTAAATGGCTTCAATAAGTCAGAGGTGAAATATTGGGCAGATCTTTATTTTGTTCCTCTATTTCACAAGAAATATCACCTGATATCTTGGAAGTTGGAAATGTATTATGGGGTCTTTTTAATTTACAATTGTGGAGGAATAAACTTTTCAAAACAAGTCACTTTGATTTCAGTGCTGGAAATACTATAGCACTCATAGGATCAATAGTTGCTGAGTTTTTTGATCCCATTACTGGAGGTGCGTGCAATATTTTGATAAGGAATTGGAAGTTTAACAAGGATGGCCCAATAGCTCAAGCAGTTAAATGCTTGACTCACAACTAAAAGGCTGACAGCCCAATTCTTGGCACTGGCTGTCATTCACACTGCTCTGTCTAAATGATCAGATTGTTGACTTGAACCCTGGACTATGGGGAAATATTCTATTTGAGGAGAAGGGAAAAGGGAGATTGTTCAGTTCATTACACTTCAATTGCATCTCTAGAATCACCAATGAGGATTATGATTAAATTTCAATCTTGAATATCTCCCCACAACTCTTCACACCAAATTTAAAATACAAGAAGAGAAAAAAGGGAAGATAAAGCAGATTAAATACTTTTTACCAAAATCCGTTAAACGCTGAAAGTGCTTTAAAAATATAATGTAATGCTAAAATGTCAGTAAGAACGGAAGCCAACATTCTATTTAGAAAAATATTATTGATTAAACAAACTGAAATTTTAAAACGCTTCATTTTGAAATTATCTGTGTCAATCCCA